GTTGTTTGAGATGATGAATTATCGGTTACAGGAGATTTTGGTATTTCCGATAATTGTTTTTGTTCTTGTTGCTTATCGTAGAGTTTCTCTTCTTTTTTTACCACAGGAGGGGAATAAGTCGTTATTATTTCTGTATCGATTGGAGACTGTTCAACATTATCGTTAGAGGCTGTGTCTTTAGAATTTGATAATTGTGTAACTCGAGCTGTTGTTAAAACAGATATCGAAGAGATTATTTGATTGAGATTTGTTTAACTAATTGAGCTTCAGATAATAACTTTGTTTCCTTACTATAAGTATTATCGCCACTATTATCATCATTGTTATTGTCGGCGAGAGAAAGCGAACTATTCGTAGATGGCAAAAGATTTGTTGTTGGTGATATTGGTTTCGATGATAAATCCGAAGAAACCATCATCCCCGCGTTCGGAATCATCCCATTATTAAATTGTATTCCAGGTGATGACAACGATTGAACAGGAAATAAATTGGAGCCAATTTGGTGATTTGAGTTCAATCCATTCATCCCATTATTTGATGTGCTCGTCGAATTTAACATTGTGCCATTAAGTTGATGATTCGGATGAATATGATTAACAATTGGAATCTGAAAAGAAAAGGGCATACTTCCATTATTATTGTTGTTGTTAATACTACCATCATCCCGCTCTGACGACTCAGTTTTTGATTTTCGATGCAACAATAATGGCGATGATTTTTCAGAAGCAGCAGCAGGAGTTGTATTTACATAATAAGGTGATGTCGATGCTGCTGCTGGTCGTATGCTTTTTAGGCTTACTCTTCGGTTTCTTTTGTATACGCCATTTAAGAATTGGGCTTCTGCTTCAGGGTCAATTGTCCAAAAAGCGCCTTTGCCAGGTTCACTATCGTTACGTGGAACTTTAACGAATGCTTTATTTAATGAGAGATTATGACGAATAGAATTCTAATAATATAGCAGATAAATATTAATAATTTCAAAAACTCGCCCAAGCATCTTCATTATATTATTTTATCCCTCTAAATCTAATATCAATCCTTCCGTTCGTGCCTCAAAAAAATTCAATTAACAAACCTGCCATCCGTTTTGAGCCAACTGATAAAAGGGATAATGCGTCGTTATATAATTATATATGCCACTCAATGTCAGCTTTTTGATAGGGGATGAATTGATTGCCTGAGCTATCAAAGACGCATAAGAAAATGGTGGCTTTGTCTCTCGTGATTGATAGTCTACTGACGCGTCAAACGATTCCCCCAAGGGTCTTATTGAATTTGTAGATGATAATGGCAACGATGGAGGTGATATTGGTTGTATCGGTCTCGTTACCGATACTAGAGATGATGGTAAAGAGTGTTGTTGCGATTCAATCTTTGGCACAATTTCGGTTATTGACGCGATATTTGAAAGTTCAGTATTATTATTAGTATTATTAACATTAATAGTATTAGATGCTGATGTTTCGTTAATTTCTGATTGCTCAGATATTGACATTCCAATGGTAATGTCTTTTATTTTTTCTTTAACCTTTTTTCTTGTGTCTTGTTGTTGTTCTTGATTATTAGTATTATCCATACTTTCGGTTTTAACAGAATTACTATTACTACTATTATTATTGCTATTATCATTATTACTACTACTATTATTATTCAAGATTCCGTTGTTCTCAGTTGCATTATTGACTTCGGTTTCCATTCTTGGGAGAAGAAAAGAAAATTGAACTTCTCCAATTTGGATCTTCGTCCTATTTTTGATTGATTGATATCATTTCATAGTAATCAAAGTTTTCAGTAATTAATGAAGAATCGTTAATTTAAATCTTTTCATTCCATATATCTCTTGAAAAAATTTTTTAAATACCTGTTTTCAAGCGGAACAGT